AATAGGACTATTTGACTTCATTCCTGATGGACCAATCAAACTTAGGGCATATAAAACAATGCCCGGTATAAACAATGGATGAAGGCCACAGTCACCTGATTGGTCCTGATGTTAACAAATTGAAATCTACAAATCAGACAAGGTGTAATTAGCATACAATCAATATTCACTATGATGCCTACGCACCTGTGGTAAACTTACATATTTAGATTGTGCGATTTGTCAGGAAATGGATTGATTTAATTTTAGTTGTTAGATTTCATCATCCCAGCTCACTGATGGCCAGTGAATGGATATCCTGAAGCTGTAGTAACCAATAGCATCCAGTCGAGTCAACCAATTTAGGGTTAAGTGAATGCTCATCGAAAAAGTTGGTTGAGGGTAGCACTGTACTATTGTAAAGACGGAAGACAAGTGCCAAGCAACAGATTGTTTAACGAGAAAATCAAGAGGTATTTATAGATTTTTATGTACATTATTATCAGTGGAAAAGCAACGTGTTCTGATTGGTCGTTTTTCTGCTGAAGGTTAATCTATCATCCCTTTGTGATCGTTTCTTAGACACTCTGGCCATATATCTGCGAATCGTATTTGCACACGTTAACTCTGCTGTGAATGGTTGGTGAGTTCCTCAAGGTTAAGCATTGTTATTGTTTTTTCTGCGGACCCCGATTCGGGACGTGAACATTGACGTAAATTGTTGTCCGCAATTTTGGCTTCTAGAGAGCTCTTAGCAATTTATGAGTTGACAAGTTTAGAATTAACGGGTCAGGGAATGAAGCCCACACGTCTGAATGATTAACAAATTTGGTCACGTAAACTGAAGGTCTCAGATTTAACTTCTGGTCGGGTTGTGGGTGAGCGCCAGTGGTGATTCTCACAATAGAACCATAACAGTTGTACACTGCTGCCTGTTTTTTTAATGATCTCTCCGAACAATGTTTTTTTTGTGAAGATTTTCGACAACTGAAATGAAATACACATTCTCTGATTGGCTAATCTCGCTCTGCTGACATCAGGTTCTTTCAACTGACTGTAACCTTTACACAGGGTAATTCATTGTTATCATACTCTATAGGAACGCTTCTTTATGAACAATAAAATCGTATTTCACAGGCCTGATAGCGACGTCTTCCGTGAACTTCAGGAATATTGAACTCCACAAACTGTTCTTCTTCCCCTATTGAAATAATTATAATTATTATTACCAATGATTACCAGTCTCTTTTCCCTCATGTGCATTCATGAAAAACATAAACATGTGAATTCTTATCATATTGGACAGTTTAAATATATTATTATCGATTAGTTGTTTTTAAAGAATGAAATACCCTCTGATCATTGCAGTTTTAATCAAACTGATACCAATGACACAAATAATGGACAAGCAGATGGAAAGAAGCAATCTGATTGGTTGAAAATATACATTACTACTTATTCACTGGCTTTGGTCATTAGACCTTGGGATTCTCGGAGATTTGGATGGATTAAGTTCCCCCTCTTCGATTTTTTTTTCACAAACCAAAATCATTCAGACAGAGAGAGACATAACTGAAAATCAGGCAGTACTGGATATTTGTTTGTTCCCAATACTGAGGTTCTTCATGAGGGATTCAACCTGAGACCTTTAGATTACGAAACCAGGCCCTTTGACCATTGGGCTAATTTGACAAGAACTAACTGACCTGTCAATCCTAATTTTGTCAGTACGTGATATAGTTCCATCCTTTTGCGATGCCTTAGATGAACACCGCTAAATAGTCGCAAATTAGAACGAAACGGCTGTCTGATGCCCCCTGATTTCCAATTATCTGTCTAAGTGATGTTGTTGGTTCGTGATGCGATCTAACAACTGAGAATAAATTATTTAGAGTCCCTACAAAAGACCTCAAAATGTAAATATCAGTCTTCAGTTCATCAATGGCTACTAGGTGGATGTCCTGAAGTGAGGATTCGTGACCTGTTGGAGTCACTATGTAATGGAATAATTGCGTGTGAAGTTCCTCTTGAACGATCTTATTATAATATTGGTACTAACTAGGATGTTTCAAGTGACTTTGTAATTATATTATCCTCTTTCCTCCTAGACTGTATATCATTATTTTGAAATTTACATGTCATATGATGACTTGATCCTTATTATATGTCTTTGTCCCTGTTTAATCTCTAAGTTTAATGCCTCTCTTTGTGGTGGTTGTGTGGTGAATGATATTGACAATGTGTTGTTTGGTGATTGTGATTTTGTCTAAGTAAGTCAAGTTTATTCCAACCTTGGACTGCCTATGAGAATTGTTTGGTGTGTGATTTATGCTGACAGAGTATTCCCCTCACTTTGTTGGGAATAATCTATTTAATTCTCAGGTGTTTCTTACGGCTAATTTTTTGTTAAATAATTCTGTTCTTTAGTACTTGTCGTGTATTCAAGAAACTATTGGATATGTATAGCTGCTCTTTAGTTTTCGTTGCGGCACTTTGTGGCTTTGAGTAACTTAAAGAACTTTCATAACGTGAGAAGACTAGGGCCAGGTAACAGATCGTTTATTGTGAAAATCAAGAAGTATTTATACATTTTTATGTACATCATTATTAGCGTTATTGTTAGCAGAGAAGCAACGTATTCTCATTGGTTGTTTTCTTGCTGAAGGTTATTCTGTCATCTCTTTGTGGTCGTTTCTTAGACAGTGGCTATATATCTACGAATCGTATTTGCACACGTTAAGTCTGCTGTGATTGGTTGGTGAATTCCTGAAGGTTAAGCTTTGTTATTGTTTTTTTTGATGACCCCGATTGAGGATGTAAACATTGACGTACATTGTTGTCTACAATTTTGGCTTGTAGACCGTCCTCACCACACTATTAGTCAGCCATACAGTAGAATGCAAAGATTGTTTTCCTTCGTACAGATCACAATATATTGATTCCATATTAGTTTTTTTATTAGATGTATCGCACAGTGAAAGTGTATTATTTACTGGATGACGTTTCGAAACAAAATTTATTGTTTATGAACAAATGACAAACTTTGTTCGAAACGTCATCCAGTAAATAATACACTTACACTGTGTGATACATGCAATCAACAAACTAGTATGGAATTACTTACTACCACAGTGCCCAAGTTTTACACATATATTAACACAATATATTGATTTCAGTTGTTACATACTATGTGTCAAGAGGAAATGGATGTACATCGTAGGCATATTGGATACCTCTGTATCACGGTTTGACAAAAGTCAGGATTTCACGGGTTACTGAACTTCACCTCAAATGCCTGAATACTGAGTGAGCTTAATGTCATGGCCTAAAGGTCCTAAGTCCGATTTCTAGTGGGGTCATGGGTGCTCAATGATGAAGAGTCTCATTGACCCACTTAAACAAAATAATATAAATTTTACAAAATACCTTGCAATAACTGTGGGTTAGGTCAACTACATAGGTCAAACTAGTCGATCAGAAGTAGTGAGATTATCAGAAAAAAAGAATTTAGCTAAGGTTAGAATGATTGATCTTATACGCGAAGATAAGTAATTTAGAATAAAACTCATCAATCTTACTGCATGCATTAACACGCAACAACACAGTAGGGTAGGAGAGGGTTAAAATTCTGAGAAGTATTATAGGTAGGCGGAGAGAGAGAGAGACATCAGTTACTGAATCCTGATTCATCGAGTCTACAGCCAGCAAATGCAACTGAAGTTACCCAACTCAAATGGCAAAGATATGGAAGATATTATTGCCACTAGTCAAGTCAGAGGATAATAAATAATGTTAAAATGTATTCAATTCAATTCACATTATAACATCCTAACATGTTATTTATTCACTTTACTACAAAGCATCGTATTTCCCAATTTATTGTATTTCATTGATAGCACTAATATTATTATTTCTGAATGTACTTTATCTTATATTGATTTCATTCAAATATCTAATTATCAATTTTTACTCATCAAATTAAATGAAGCAAGAAAGTTGTGTAAGTAGTATCTTGATATGTTTATGAGCAGTAATAAATTTTGCCCGAAAGGTGTTCATCAGCAAATAATACTGTGCAACACTGTGTGATTTATGAGAATGAAGAGACTCCAATTAGTAAGTAACAGATATCCAGTACTCCGCAGTTTTCAGTGATCTGCCTAACTGATGTTGCTTCGTGATTATTATTGTCATTATTACATCCTTTAATTCCTAGAGGAACATAGGGCTTCAGCCACACGTCTCCACTGCGTTCGGTTATCTGTCAAAGTTCTTACCTGGCTCCAGGTCTGTCCATATGCTTTCATGTCCTCTTCGCATGACCTCCTCCAAGTCACTCTTGTAATGACGACCAACTAGCCGCTGCCCATTCGGGTTCCACTTGAGCAATGGCTTGTCTAGTGATGTCCTTTGATGGTTTCCTCAGAGTATAGCCAGCCAATCCATCTCCATTTCTTCCTGCCTATTTGTTGCACAATCGGTTCCTGGTTGGTTCACTCCCAGAGATCCCTATTGCTGTTCTTTTCTGGCCATCTGATCTTGAGTATTGAGCGAAGGGAGCTATTGATGAAGGTCTGTTGTTTTTTTTGAGGTGCTCCCATGACGGGCCAGGTCTGTGATCCGTATGGCAGTACTGAATTCACATTGGAGTTGAAAATCTGGATCTTATTTTTCATGTTGAGTGCTGAGTACTGTTGACCTCCACACAGACTTGAGAGTAATGAAAGCTTGTCTTGCTTTTCCGATTCTGGCTTTGGTATCCTCGTCAGTTCCGCCGGCCTGTAGTTGAAACGATGTTTCCAAGGTCGGTGGGTAAGGAAGGTTGTTTCTTTCAGGTTCCTTCCATTTAGGCTGGCTGATTGTTGTCTCTTGTTGTTGCTGTTGCTGTTGGTGTTGGCCAGAAATCTTCATCACCTCTGTTTTCTCTATGTTCACCTGAAGTCCTTCCTATCTTTGATGCTTCTTCTGTCAACTTGTTGCTTTTCACCTGCATATCTTCCAGATTGTGGCGAAGTCCAGATCTTCCAAGTTTTTTGTGTGAGTTCATTTTATGCCTGTTTCCTCATTGCCCGTTGTCTGTCGAATTATCCAATCTACTGCTTGGTGATGGAATTCAACAATTAAAACTAAATTAAATCGACAATTATCTAGAGAAAAAGAAGGGGGTGATGATTAACAGCTGTCTTCAGTTTTTTTTTCAAAGGCAACTCTTTTTTGTTGTCTGTTTGCCTATGCATACAGTCAAAGTAACGATTTAGACGAATCTGATAAGTGAATGATGTTTTCAAAATGAAAATAATGACTGACAAGAAAATCTGCGATTTTATATATTTTGCCAATGAGAAGAATCTTTGTGTTTGTGTGTTTCTGTGTGTGTGTGTGTACGTGTGCGTGTATGTGTGTGCGTTAAATTGTTTTTCCATGTGATGATTGTTTTTTTCCTCAGATGTTTCAGTTGTCTGACTATTATTTGTTTATACTTTCTTTGTCTAGTCAACTAAACGATCCTACTGCTGAGAAAAGAGGGGAAGGTTGGGTGTGTGGCTGGCCAACCACTCTCTCATCACCCACCCCCAGTCAACGAGGAATTCAACATAGTTGCCAAAGAAACTCCAACAAGCAGAAAAATATGAGAAATGAGTTTGCTCGTCACTGAAATGGGAGAGATGGAATGATATGGACTGGTGAAAAAATTCTGAAAGGCAGTGAGACGATGCGTTTTCTCTCCATGAAAGTCAAAGACAAGCGAAGATGAGAGTAGCTGGAATGGAATTGCGATCTTCAAATTGTTGTTGAAGATTAAAACAATTGGTCCCTTTGATAAATTAGAATAAGGCATTAAGAAGACAGATTTCGCGAGATGATATCTTCATTTCGTAGTTTCTTTACAACCGCTTTACAAATAACATGGTTAACAATAATAAAATAAAGTTCATGAAAATTACTCAGTTATATAAAAAACAAAAGTACATACTAGTAATGACCAATCATATTTAGATAGGTCATGTAGTCCAGGTAGGCGAAGATTGAAGTCTATTGATTTTTGTATACACAGTTTAGGCTGTATGTGATTAATCCCTCAAAGTGCTTCCATCACCTTCAATAACCTTGAATTAGAGTTATGTGATGAAATAATTGTGAAACAGTCATTAATATTGATTTTGTGACCTGACATTAATAAGTGCTTTGCAAATGATGATGATGCTGGATTTCTATTAAGATTAATGGCGTTGGGATTTTCGATATGATTTAATAGCCATTTTGGAACATGTTCTTTTCGACGACATTGGAACATTCTGTTAGTTCTACCTATATAGGTGTCACCGCAGCTGCAGGTGAACTTGTAGATACAGTTTGAAGTAGAGTTCATAGAATTTTGTCCTTTAATCGTAGAGAAAAGGATCGAAAATGTTCGGCAAGTGAGAAAAAGAGATACGGCGTAGAATGTGTGTTTGATGGCTGATCGAAGTCTTTAAGCTGTCAACTGCATAATCTAGTCGCCCTTGAATGGTAGGTTAATGAAGATAGTTTTCTTTGGTACAGAAGCTGTCTTTTCAAGATGTGGTCTATCCTTACCGTGAGAATTGATGAAGTTTTCTGGATAACCATTAGCTAATAAAACTGAATGTCTGTGTCGAAACTCATCCATCAATGTGTTACTCGTGCATATTTTGTTGAAGAGTTAATATTTATTCTGTTGGCTGAATATATTCGAGAGAATCTGTGTTAGTATGTTGGCGTCTAGTGTTTAAATGCTTCATTACGACGTATGATGATTAACACGGTGTCATTTTTAGATAGTAGTGACTGGCAATGGAGACAAGAATGCACATTTCATCCCTTTTTGTCACTCATCATCTGGATGTAGTTACACACCACACACCTCTCAGCAAGTGATGGTGATAATGGTCCCCCTGAGACTAGAACTTCAAAGTGTTAACCACTAGTTCATGATCAGATGAAAGTGTACTCAGAGAACATCTTTTATATTTTGTTTATATAACTCCATTATTCCTTATCCTTTGATTTTACTGGTTGGTAATATAAATCTAAACTTCAATTAAATGACGTTTATTTATTTAATAGTGTGAAATATTCCTACATCATAATAAATAAAAAGTCAATCTGAACGAAGAATATTCTTTTCAACAATTTCTCCTCTTCAATTTCTTACAATTATAAAATAGTTATAATATTTGTGGTCGTTACAATAACGATAGCCAGTTATGCGGCGGATACATTTTTAACTTGGAGTAACAGATTAGTAGTTATGGGGTGTCAAAATAAATAGTCATATTTGTGTGACAAACGTGCTTTGGGCTGAAATCGATTACAAAATATAGTAAAATGAGAGACGATGGTGGTGATTAATTATAATAGAATTGTAGAGTGTGGGGTAGGAAAATTAACAAGTCAGTTCAAGGTTATCGAAGGTGTCAGGTGAGTGTCAGTAGCCGTCCAATGTCCACCCAGAAACTCAAAGATGTCTTTCCTAAACTTAGCTCTTCTTCATGCATATACCGTTTCAACTGTTCTTGTGGTTCAAATTACATAGAGCGTAAGACCACGCAGATTCGTCTATGGGCTCGAGAACATTTACCAGCTTGGTTCAGAAGGGGGAGGGGGAGGGGGAATGAAGTGCATAAAAGCTCAATCCTTTCACACTTGATTAATACTGGACATCACACTGACGTTAACACAGCTTTCAGGGTTGGTTATATACCAAGTTCCTTAGTCGTTATCACGTATAGTTGGCAAACGTCTCCTACACATAGCTGAGGCTGTTACAATGAGGTCGACTAAACCGGAACTTTGTATCCAAAATCAACACGTCCAGACTCTGTTCCTACCGTGGGCAAACTTGGATTGATGATTCTTCTTCTCACCAAGAGTGCTCCTTCCGCTTAACCCTCTTGGTTTTTTTCTTTGCTTATTATTATTATCACAATTATTATTATTATTATTCGTCATAATTTATGCCCTTCATGCAAACATCCCCTCAATACTATCGAATTTTCCATTTATACTCTCCGGACTTATTTTTAGTGATATTATCTGTTTTCTTAATATATGCCTCCACCTGTTTCATTTCACGCATTCTTTATTTCACGATGAACCTCTCATTGCAGTCTTACTATCTCCTGTTTAATACAGACCACTTTGTACCTAGCCACTCACTTACCTGACACCTTCTATAACCTTGAACTGACTTGTCAATTTTTCTACCCCACATTTTACAAATCTGATATGACAAATTACCACCACTGTCCCCATTTCACCGAAATATTTTTTAATCGATTTCAGCCCAGAGCACATTTATCACACAAATATGACTATTTATTTTGACACCCCGTAACTGGCTGTCATTATTGTAACGACAACAAATGTTATATTTCATAATTGTAAGAACCTAGAGAGGAGAAATTATTGAAAGGAATATTTAATTATTAATTTATATATCTAGTCAATTGTGACTCATAATCCTATACACTAATAATTATCGCACTGATCGTTATATATATATATATATATATATATATATATATACGACTGTACAGCTGTGAAAACGAAATCGTCAAAAGAGAATTTTCTCCGCTGAATTATTTGTTTTTGTGTCTCAATGGGGATTATAAATATATAACTTTTAAGGTTATTTATAAGTAGGTTCGAGGGTGCTTATTGAAATACAACGAGGCTATAGCTATTCGTAAAATCAAGCCCTCCCCGTTGCCCTGTATACTACAACGTTGATAGTCCTTATCTGATTATATAACCAAACGAAGTGTTGGTGACTAGCAGTGGAATCCAGGATAAAGCGCATTTCGTCCTATTTGGGACTCGTCTACCAGCTGAATGTACCTGCATTCCGCAGTGAGTCATGATGTTCCCACCAAGGCTCGAACCAGGTGTTAATTATTCTTATTATTTGAACAAAGCAAGAACCACAGGTTTAGCAGAATAAAATGGTACCATCTTTTATTTCGTTGCCTTCTCATCAGCTGCTTACATGGCAAAGACATTATTAAATATATCTACAACAACAATTTTAACATACTTGCACAGAGTTCAGTTTAAACAAAAATCAATCGATCAATATACGCATACACTACAAATATATACATATATATATGCAATATTAAACACTATTCCGAACAATAAAGGGAACAAATGCTTTAAACAGTGCCATCACTAGGCATCTCTTCGACACGGGTCATGAGGTGGACGTCGAAAAGTCGTTTAAAATTATCAATAAGCAAAATAGCTCAATTCTCCTTAAGTTTGGTGAAGTCATTTCTGTCAAGCGCCTGAAACCTGATTTATGCGTCCAGAAAGAAGCGGTTATCAGTCTTTCTTTGCCCTGGTAACTGGATAATTTCACCTCTCTTTCCTCCGAATGTGAAATGCTAAAAGTTTCCATTGTGTTTGATCATTATTGTTGTTCGGAATAGTGGTTAATATTGCATATTTATACATGTATATATTATTACTGTATGCACATATAGATCGATTGATTTTTGTTTAAACTGAACTCTGTGCAAGTATGTTAAAATTGTTGTTGTAAATATATTTAATAATGTCTTTGCCATGTAAGCAGCTGATGAGAAGGCAACGAAATAAAAGATGGTACCATTTTATTCTGCTAAAACTGTAGTTCTTGCTTTGTTCAAATTCATTAAGGGGAATAAATGTATGAAATTCTTATTATTATTCTTAAAATACAATGTATGCTAGGAGAATTTATGCTATATAAACGTTATGTAGATGATACTCTCATTATTGGTAATAATAGTAAGTCTACTGAAAACTTTATTACCCCATTTATAATCATATTTATCCAAATATCCGAGTGACCTCCGAATTCGGATTGAATAAGAAACTCGGTTTCCTGGATATTACTTTGACTAGGAGAGATGATAGAACAATTCAACGATCCATTTTTCGTAAATAGATATGCAGTGGACAATATCTTCATTTTACCATTGTTGTTCCTATCCAGTATAAACGTTCCCTAGTGAAATGTTTGTTATCAAGGGCCCGAAAAATATGCACGAGTGACACAGTGATGGATGAGTTTCGACATATACATTCAGTTTTATTAGCTAATGGTTGTCCAGAAAAATTCGTCAGTGGTCATAGGAAGGACATACCACATCTTGAAAAGACAGCTTCTGTACTAAAGAAAGCTATCGTTATTGACCTACTATTCGACGGTGATCAAATTATGGAGTTGGCAGCTCAAAGACTTCGGTCAGCCATCAAGCCCACATTCTACGCCGCATCTCTTTCCTTCACATCTCGAACATTTTCGATCCTTTTCTCTACGATTAAAGGACAAAATTCTATGAACTCTACTTCAAACTGTATCTACAAGTTCACCTGAAGTTGAGGTGACAGTTATCTAGATAGAACCAACAGAATATTCCAATGTGGTCGTCGAAAAGAACACGTTCGAAAATGGTTATTAAAACACATAGAAAATCCCAATGGAATTGATCTGAATAGAAATCCATCATCATGCATTGCAAAGCACTTATTAATGTCTGGTCACAAAATCAGTATTAATGACTGTTTCACAATTATTTCACATAACTCTAATTCAAGGTTACTGAAGGTGATGGAAGCACTTTGGGGGATTAATCATATACACCCTAGACTATGTGTACAAATAATTATCGACTTCAAACTTCGTCTACCATGAACTGACTACTTGACCTATTTAATTAAATATGATTGGTCATTAGTAGTATGTACTTTTGTTTTTTATATAACTGAGTAATTGTCATGCATGCATTTTATTTTATTATTATTGTTATTATTGTGAACCATGTTAGTTGTAAAGCGGTTGTAAAGAAACTACGAAATCATGCCATTATCTTGTGAAATTTTATCCTTCTAAATGCCATATTCCCAAATCCTTTTCGTTATTTAAAAATGGGCAATACATCATTGTAGTGATTGAGCTGAAATGTCTGCAGCGCTACCACCTGTTTTTCGACGTGGAACGTTAGCTCACTTTAGATTAGGTCGCAAAATGGTTAAGCGGAGAGGAGGGGGTGAGTAGGAGGTAATTAGATTGTGGCATTAATTCGTAAAATGTTTAATAATTGGTCCGAGTCAAACACGCTGGTAGTGGTGCGGGGTTGTAGACTGCCTCGTTGAGAACTTCAGGATACTAAGAACTAATAGTTGGAGAGCATTGGTGACAAGGTTCATTGGTTCATTGGCGTAGGTGAATTCATTTTTCTTGTTGTTGTTAAAGGACCATCGAAAACCAGGAGTAGTACTCAACAACCGTTTCGTCCTTCTTTAGAACTCTTCATTAGTACGCATCGAAGACTACTTAGTTTGCAAGACTAACTCATTTAGCGTACAGCCATTGGGACAGAATTCAATAACCTTTACAATCCCAACTTCTTTCTTTTCACAATGTATATATTAGAACCTACTACCAGATAATAGCATTGGCAAGTATCTGATCACGACTAGTGAACACTACAAAAATAACAAAAGAAGGATAAGTAAACACGGAAAAAGACACCCACACGCACACACACAAAGAAGTCATCTTATATTTCCTGTTCTTCCACATGACAAGTAAAACAGAAAGAAACAAAGAAAGAAAGGGAAAGCAAGCGCGTAAAATCAATAATAACAATAATAATAATTCTATAATACCCATTGATTAATTAAATCGATAAATCAATCAATATCTCTATGATAAATCAAGTCAAATAAATATAAATGAAGACAACATTGGAGCCAGAAAATGAAGAAAGAAGGCGGCGAAGGGGATTATCAACAAAATCAGAATAATAAGGATTAGAGTCCATAAAACACGCACACACACATACAAACGCACATCAGCAGTGATCAATACTAATACCACGTGACAGTAGAGAGTGAAACAAATACATAGCAGAAGACAAATCATATCTATAGCTTGGTAAAGCATTGTGCTACAATTATAACTGCCTGTATATCGACTAAATAATAATAATTATAATAATAGTAAAGCGGGATTTAAATAAGTTACAGTAATCAACAGGATATGTGGTGGAGAAACAAAAGGGTTATACAAGAAAAAAGACAAACAAAATGGAGGGTGAGGCAAATGGCGCATAGAATTCTATATCTGTCTGTGCATGGCAAAATACACACACACACACACACAGGATCAAGATGGCGATACCATATAGTAATAACCATAAAACTCTGCATCGAAAACTTATATCTGACAGTTGTTTATTTAAAAACAGAAAAGTTATATGAAAGCGGTGGTGTCATATTGAAAAAGAAAATGAAAGAAAAATCGATGAATAAATCGATAGATGAATGGCTGAAAAGGAGAAATCACCATTTCAAATTCAAATTTTAAATTTTTCAATAATATAAACTTTTAAAATTTAAAACCATACAATAGGAAAGTGTATCGCACGATGGGAGGGTAGGGAGGTGTTGACAAAAGTTTTTGACAAAAAGTTGAAAACAAAAAATCAATCAATCAATAATTAGGTCATGTTTTTGTTTTCAGCTGAAAGTGATACAATGAAAGATACAGCTGAACTTGAAGAATGAATGCATTATTGATTAATTATTGATTTTAAAATATTGATCAGAATATATATATATCATGATAACTGTTGTGGATGAAATACGTCAACACGCACACAGGCACACACACACGCAGACACAAGAAAACATACAGACTTACAGTAGCTAGAAATATATGTATATTGCTGTTACATCAACGCACACATTCAACTAGGGGAGCACAATCTAGCTAACACATTATTTCAGGAGAAAAGAGAGATTACATTCAAAATAGCAATGCGGTAATAAACTTGTGTCTGTACGTTTGCATTCGCAAGTGTGCGTATGCTTAAGTGTACATGTCATGCGGTTGAAACGAGGGGGCGCGCAGGAGGGTGTGTGTGTCGTAGGGTAATCAAAATCAAATAATAATTATATAATTAGCAGTTGAAAGACGTTAGCATAAATCTCCATCCGAAAATGATGTTGGCCAATTGAAAAACAAACTAACACTATGGTGCTGAGGAGGATGGATCAATAGTTGGGATATCAGCTGTCTTCACCTCATTGATTCTATGCAGATATATGATGTATGTGTAAACGACAGTATTTGATGCGACATGTTCATATTGGCGGTAAAGGCATTCCTGTGGTCAACTTATAAAAAGTATCTTCAGCAAGACACTGGTTTTTCTCTGGAGCTCTTAAATTCAAAAATGTATAACCACCGAGAAATTCAGCAACAGTTCTAACGGATACATCTATTGGTCGGATAATCACTCTGCCGGAACACTCAGATGACTTTGTTGTGTAATGATCAGTTTTAGACTGGACTTGTTGGTGCTGTTGACTGGTCGATTGGTGCTGTTGCTGGTGTTGTTGTTGTTGATGATGTAATTGACTAGCCAGCATGAGCACAACTTCACTCAACTCCCAATTAATATGCCAACCTTGAACTGTTGACATCCTCCAGCTAGCCAGTATTTCTCCATTGCTCAAGTCACACCGGTAAATTCTTGTTGCACCGATTCCAACCGCCTCGGCTTTACGACTCATTGACACAGTGACATTCCCACTGCTTGACGGTCTATTTATCCCAGGGATCCAACCACTTGTACCACCATATTCAGATCGGGAGCATGCATCACTACCTAAGATACTATTTAACGGTACAGTCACTTCGATACGTGCTGGGAAAAAGACAATCCCATGTTGACGTAACTGTTCCCAGGCATTAATATACTTTAGTTTAGCTTGTAGGCTTGTCAAATTGTATATTTGGGTGTATGTTGCTGAGACACGTTGAATAAGGCTATTACGAGTCTATAAATAGAGTGGGGAAAGAATGAACAGTGAGTGGAATTATAAGATAGAGAGAAAGAGTAAGGCAATTCTGTAAAATACCTGTTCGTAATGGTTGCCAATAGAAACTGTTTGAGAACGATTTTCAAACGAAAATATACACTTTTTGAAGTGCTGATTTGCAGAGATTTAAATGACATCAGCTAGAAGGTCATTAAAACCCAGAAATTACTGGTTAAGTGTTTCGTCCTTGTTTGGCCCTTTTAAGCCAAATGCACCAATCACCTCAGCCACTAGCGACCCTTAGGTTAAGAGGTGAGTTCGTTGACTGTTGATCCTCAGGGATGGAATCCAATAGCCAGTTAATGAATTCCCCATCCCTTCAATTCTTAAAAAGTATAGTGTCAACTGCTATCAGTGACATTGACGAGTACCTTACTTCATATCCAACTTAGTGCACACCAGTGGTCACAACTTCTGGGCAGAACTTCGGACATTCTAACCATCTCACATTCTTGCGAAGGGGTTACGAATTTTCTCCTTTAAATGGGACATTTTATCACTGTAATAAAACCTCAGATTTTAATGTACAGACATTGCTATGTCTGACTGACTGACTGACTAAGTTTGCAGCACAGGACTTTGCACAGGCGGGGGGCAACAGTTCAAGTTGCTAAACTCCATATAGCGTATAAAGGTGGTAAAAACAATGAAGACAACTATAATGAACGGATATGTACAGCAGAAAGAGTAAGTACACAGAGAATAATGAAAATTTGATGGATTTAGGAGTCCTACATGTCGATCTAAGTGATTGACAACGATGATGAGACTTACGATCAATAACCTCAAGCCATTCGTTCTTAGTGCCTCGATAATCCCCTCTGCTTTATATAGGTGGTTCAAACCAACAGTGAAAGACTCCTAACTCGTTTCCAACCTAATCCGCTGTCAGCTAAAATCACTCTGTTAGTGTGGCGATGGATTGGCGTGTGTTGCACATGTCCTAGCCACCTCAATCGACATAGCTTTACAACCTCATTGATTGAATTATACTCCTTATCTGAAAGTCGGTGCCTAACCTCAATACAACTCACCATATAATGCCGCTTAACATGGGAGATAGAATGCACACATCAGCGGTCAAAGACTACTAGCCTCTTCATTATTTCCACTCTCAACGACAATGTCTCACAGCTATGAAGAAGTATAAAGGGAACTGCTGATCAGTGCATATGCCCTTTGATGGATAGCCGGATATCATGTATACATTGGAGATAACATAAGTGGGCGAAAACCACACAAGTCTTTTGTATCCGTGCTGAAATCTTCTCATAATTCAGTCCGTTAGGGCTACTACAACTGTCAGAATAAGTGAAATGGTCAATGTGCCAATGTACCATTTCACTTCTCATCTTCAAAACAGGAGTTGGTGGGGGAGACCAGAGTTGCAGCAGGATGCAAAACATATCAAGGTGTTCAAAAGAGTCTGCATTTCACAGCAGTGGAAAATGAACGAATCAATACTGAAAAAAACGCGTAACCAACCTGCATAAATTGATTTGTCGACGGATGAATAGGCGGTTTATCTTGACTTAGTATAGTTGCTGACCGCCTTGACAGTGTATCCCCTGGATCCCGTCTATAATCCCAAGTTCTTTGTGATCCTTTCAGATAACCTAATCGCAATGGGAGCATATCGATTAGTCGTTTTTCTAAATAATTATGCAACTTTGTCACATTGACAATATTATCAGTTTGATCAGCTTTAAAACTGCTCGGTGAAATTAAATGCATCAAATTTGAGATAGCTTTACGCTCAGCATCAAATGTTGCACGATTCAGCAGATATGATGCAATATTCCGTTGTCTCTTTGCTGGACTGGTCGATCTTGTTCCTGTAGCGGCATCTGGCATATCTGTACATAGGCTAGGCACAACTGTCGAGTGGACAGCTGTAGTGATTCGAAATACAGCCAACCAATCCATGTAATCATTTAAACTAGGGAAGCGTAACCACAATTCGTTGACTAGCCCAGTCATTGCCGCTGACGATCCGCTCAGTGCACCGATACCACTGACACCGATAGGGCCATTGTGTGATCCATTCGATGAGATACCGAGTACATTGCTTAAATGAGATAGCGAAGTTAACGATAGCAAGGAGGCTCTTCGTTTCAGTTTTGTACCGACTGTAGGGTCTTCATCGTCAGTCTGCAGGTCATCCAAATGACTGTTAGTTGCAAAGGCTGTAGACAGTGGGAGATTTGTTCGTGACACAGGTACATATAGACGGATAATGAATTTTTCTGATGAAACACATAGATCTGGTTGAATTTCACATCCTGGTAGATAGATGACTTCAGCTGCATCACTTTCCGATTTGTAGTCGTCTTTGTTCTAAAACCGAATGGAAAAATGATAATAATAATTTGCTTTATTCCAGAAACAGTACTAGTGGTAGAGTGTGCAATTGTCAGCGCTTATCTTTATTTTCCTTCACGTATCCCAGTGCGTCGGTGGCACAGTGGTTAGGACTCTCGCCGAACATGCACATGGTCCGGGGTTCGAGCCCACGCCGGCGCACACCTGATATCTATGGTCGGCCTGCGAAATTTGGGCTACCGATATCCACGCTGAAAATTCCATACTTGTACCAAAAATACAGTGTGGAATCAAGCTGTAATCAAAAATTAAAAAAATTAAAAATTAATTAGAGCTTCAAGCTAGTGGCTTGAAGTTTCTGTAGCAGTGGTGTTTATTTTACAGGATGGGGTTGCTAGCCAACTCATGCCCAACCTTTCCTCTTTACCAGCATTATTTCTGGCTCAGCGAGGTAAAGGAGTGCCTCGTCGGTGGCCGGGGATCGAACCCCGGACCATATTCATGGTCGATGAGCGTCCTAACCGCTATACCACTTATCTACAATACTGCATCTAATTTTATCAAACATTTAAGAGGAGTATTTCAAAAAATAAATATAAAAAACGACAACAACAAAAACTAACATAAAATAGCAAAAATAATGCGAAAAATAAATACCAAGAAGTAGCATGGAAAATAAACAACATAATAAGTAATATCTCAGTGCTATATTCATACAAGAAGTTATGAAATGATATTTTGGAGTGTTTATCGCCAAGATGATCAGTTAATTTGATTGAACAACACCAAACAATCGTAAAATAAACATTTCAGGGTATTTTTATTGTCAGCTCTAATGCGGTGTTTGTAGTGGTAGTGTAAGGAATCCTGCATAATACAAAATTTTAAGATGGTGATAACGGTGTTCACAACCAAGATAGTCAGTTCATATTGCCGAATAAAAAACAACCACAAAACTAATATTACATGATGGTTAATGACAGGACAATTTTGTAATACTCATAGTACTAATATAGTCGGAAACAGTAGATGCACAAAAGAAGGGATAGAATAAAGAATAAAAAAGTAAGCCAATGATAATAATTTTAAGTAGCTAAGTATGTTTAAGAAGGTGTTCACTATAGAATACAAATAAGAGAGAAATAAAAGAGCCAAAATGATGTTGTTAACAACAAAACAGGTCATAGGTTTCACGTTTAACATTGTCTCTGTCACTTAGAACACGGGCTGGCCAAATATGGTATCGTTGAGTTCGTGTACTTGGTTGTACAAGCATATATTATTTTATACTGATTTCTGGTTCTACCTGATGAGATACAAGGAGAGAGTTGGGAATAGAGGGGTTGTTGGGGGTCGGAGAGTATGGTTTTAGACCATTTTTTGCATGTATTCAGATGCCTTTCTACTAATGTAGTGACGAGCTGACTGAGTTTTACAACACTAATCCTACTAACTACCTTTAACATCCTTCTCATGATGGCATAGTCCTTTTTCAGTAGCGCAGGAAAGACTAATGGGGAGCAGTAAAGTAGAATAGGTAAGATATGAGAGTTGGCAAATTGTGAAAGTAGAGGTTTGGTGGTTCCAGATAGTCTAAGTTTCTTAATATAGTAGGCTAGACGGAACACTTTCTTAGAAATCGTTAGAATATGGATAACTTCACTGAGAACATAGAAATGAAACTGAATTCAAAGGTGACCTAGCTACTGACATCTTAAAAGGAAGGATCTCACAATCTCTGGAAGGGAAACGCTAACAGAATAACTGTTTGAAAGATTCCTCCTGGAGTATCTATTCAAGATATTGTAATCATGAGCTATTCTAATCCTAGAGTGCGTAATAATTGTTCTTACGTTTGCATATTAACTGATTTAGAATGCCCATTAAAATTTTCAAAAGGATGGATACTGAAGAAAGAATACATCATCATCAGGTTCTACAGTTATATATACAACATTATAGTGAATGAATGAATTAGTGTTATGAACAGCATTAATCTTCAAATGACATCGAATCAATATTAATACTACCAATGGATTACAGTTCAGTAGCACCAACATAAAATAATCTGAGCGTCAAAAAAATTAGGAAAGATAATATTACAAATTCATGAATTTATAGTCTCTACTGAAGGCCGGCCAGGGCAGCAATCGGGGTTAGCTGGACTTGCTTCTTTTGTACACAGAGCACTGGTTGTTTGAGACGAATTGCAATAGCCTCAGCTGTGTGAAGCATGCGGTGCTTCGATGTTTTTGGCAATTTATTAGGCACCCGGTAGATGATTATAGAGTAGGATTCTTCCATGTTGGCTGGCTTTGCGGCCGGTTCGTACCAGATGGTACACTATCGAACTGTTGATAGTTTTCACTACATCATTACTTAGCCAAAGTGGGAGATGTTCTCGAGTGAGCACGAAAAATCAAGTTCCTAGAGTAACGGCCAATTTAACTCGCTCCATTAAAAGTGTAGTTGAATTGGTAGATATAATTTGAATTGGCTATCTAGTCTAGGTACTTCATCTTTCAATTGAGGAATCACCATTGGTTGTGTAGAAAATGTGACTTGTAGTTTGCCAGCACTTAAAAAAGTTCCATTATAGATACGATTTTATTTTGATAAATCACACAGTGTTGTACAGTTATATGAACTGATGACGTTTCGAGCACAAACTGTTGCTCATAATCATATCAAGTTACTCACACAACTTTGTTCTTTCATTTATATACATGTGTAGAATCGATTAGATATTGGATTAAAAATCAATGTGAGATAATGTACATTCAGAAATAATAGTACGAGTGTTGTTGATCAATTGCAGTTAGATAGGAAAAAAGGACGAGTGTTTTTTTACAGTCATAATAAGCTACTTGTTAGAATGTTGTGTTTGAATTGAAATAGAATTTTAGTATTATTTATTATCCTCTTCTAATTTGACCTGCGGTAATAATATCTTCCATATCTCTGGTATTTGCATTGAGTCATTTTTGTTGCATGTGTTGGGTGTAGATATAACTATAAAACTTGGGCACTGTGGTAGAGTATAATTCCATTATAGATAAGATTTTATTTTGATAAATCGCACAGTGTTTACAGTTATATGAACTGATGACGTTTCAAGCACAAACTATTGCTCATAATCATATCAAGTTACTCACACAACTTTGATCTCTCATTTATATACATGTGTGGAATGGATTAGATATTGGATTAAAAATCAATGTGAGATAATGTACATTCAGAAATAATAGTACGAGTGTTGTTGATCAATTGCAGTTAGATAGGAAAAAAGGACGAGTGTTTTTTTACAGTCATAATAAGCTACTTGTTAGAATGTTGTGTTTGAATTGAAATAGAATTTTAAGATTATTTATTATCTTCTTCTGGTTTGACTGATGGCATTAATACGAGTGTTATTGATCTACTATAATCAGATGGAAGATACGACGAGTGTTTTAATAGTCATAATAAGTTTTTTGTTAGGATGTTGTGATGTGCTTGAATTGAAATAGAATTTTAATATTATTTATTACCCTCTTCTGATTTGACCTGCGGTTGGGTGTAGACTCGATAAATAAGGATTCCGTAATCAACCTCTCTCTCCACTTAGCTATATTACTTTTTAGAATTTTAATCCTATCCCACCCTATTGTGTGGTTGTTTGTTATTGCATGAAGTGCAATCTCTGAGCTTTTTTCTAAATTACTTATCTTTTCAGGGTCAACCATTCTTACCCTAGCTAAATTCTTATGTTCTGTTAATCTGACTATCCCTGACCTACTAGTTTGACCTATGTAGTTGACCTCACAGTTATTGCAGGGTATTTTGTAAATTATATTATTTTGTTTAATTGGATCCACCGGGTCTTTTAGCCTACAGAGCTTGTCTGTGACTGTCTATAACATCAGCCGTGCAAATACGCTGAATCCTCTTGAATAGACACTTCACCAAGCCCCTCTTATACTGTAATGGACAGAAGCTGTGAAAATTAAGGTATTGCCCCGTCCAAGCGGGCTTTCTGTAGAATAAACCCTTCTTTTAAAGTTACCTGCAGGACGAAAAATAACCTGTCAGAATCACAAGTACCTGGACCAGTTGTATTACTGCGGTTCTGGCCGGGAATCTGTTGAAAGAAATAAGTTTCAGATTTGATCACGAACCGATATCAGTTGGAGAACCATTTGAAAACCAATAGGGAGCCCTGGGCATCGATTCTGTCATAGCTTGAAGCTCTTCATAAGCACGCAACCCCAAGGAATCAAACCCATCTCCGTCCAGTAACAAGGCACTGGACATCAGATCTAATGGTCTACGATTTCCAACTTCCATTAATTCGTGATTTTGGTGCAACCACCAACCAATGTCATCGATGAATATTTGTCTTCATGCACAGTTTGGTGAACCCCTTGTGGTCGTGACTTCTCACCAGAAAGTCCAGGAAACTCTGCCCTGTAGCCAATCGCTAACCAGCATCAAATTTATTTTAAAAAGAGTTACTTTGTAAGGTCGTGTTGAAATCAGCAATTTTTAGAAGTTGGAATTCATTGGCCACTAGACTGGGTCTCAGCGGCTGAATGGTCCTATGAGCTTGCCTTGTAACTGGAGGGTCATGTGTTTGAATCCTGGTGGGTGCATACTGCTAAGGGGTCCCAGAATATGACGAAGCAGCTATTCAGTACTACAAACGACTGTCTAATTGATGTCACAGCTCATTTGATCAAAACAAACTCTTGAGAAATAAGCTTGTTCAAGTAGTCCTTCTATTTTGATGGTTCTACACTATCTACGTTCAAAATTATTTAATAGTTCCTATTTCTACCTTGGATTTGTTTATTCAACTTGTTTTTAATTTTTTAATTTTCGAATAATTTTCAATATTATCTGACATGTCAGATTTTTGTTTATTTGATCTAGTATATGACATGTCCTATTTTGAGATATCATCACTTATCGCAACTGTCATCATGTTATACAGTGTTGTATTTAGCCGACACTCTAATCTAATGAAATCTTTCTCT